TGCAGGTGTTGGCTAGCGAAGGACGGACTGATCGGAACGCCCAAGTACGTATGCAAAGAAGGTACAGTAGCAGGACAGTGGAAAGCTACGTACCAAAGAGGTTGTGAAAGAAGTTGGTGAATGAGCTACAGCTCAGTTGCAGCTCATTCCTTTTGAAAAGACTGCTCTGTATTTGACAGAGTGAATTTGAAGTCTAGGAATAGATAGTTATTAAGATTACCCTAGTCCCACCTCACCCTTGGAGGAAACTAGCGCTTGCGCTGGGGGATTGGGGGCAATCGCCTCTACATAAAAAAATTGTACAACTTTTTATCCTTCGGTACATAATTATGGCCTAATATAGACCCTTATTGGAGCTCGTGCAAACCCAACTGTACCCATTTTTCAAAGATCTCCCTTCGTGCTTGTCCACCCTTCATGCGCAATGCAAGTACAGGGTAGCTAACTCCAGTCAGTAGTAGCAGTAATAGTAGTGCCGCCAAGTCTCTTCGGGCTCGAATTATTAAATCTTGCTTTGTCCCATCTTGGCGACGACGCCCAATCAAGTGATGCCTTGCGTTCCCCTACTATTTCCGACTGGCAGTAGATTCGCAATGGCAGAATTCCTTATCCTACTATTATTCTCGTCGAAGTTTGTCACTAGTGGAAATTCTCAGCAGGTGACGCTACAAGCATATGACAATACCGCTATGGTAGGCATGCCCATTGACGAATGGGCCCTGGATTATGATTCGACCGTATCCATACCTGGAATGGTTTCTGTCCGGGTCATGGGATCTATTCCAGTTGTGGCTGACCCGGCTATGCCTAAAAACAGCAGCATTTACGTCGACTGTGGTCCTACCCAAAGTAAACTACGACAACAAAATGATGAGGACGATGACAATGTGGAGAAGAATGTGCCAGGTTTCTTTTGGTTGGATGATCATTTGGTGTGTCAATCCGGTTTCTACAATATTACTACATTAATGCAAATGGATGGGACCATCCATACTCCCATCCCTGTGAGCTCTCGAAGAACGGAATGGGTCTTATATGGCGAGTTTTGGCCACAAAATGAACGCTTTTCTTTGACGAACAGTGTTGCCGATATTATTTTAGTGTCATCACAAAACCACGCGACGAGGAGTATATTCCGTCAAGTCAAAAGCATTGTTTCTCCTTTAGAGCAACGCCGCATCCGGCTTGCGCAGCAACTTCAGAATGGTTGGGGTCTGTATAATCACAACTCGCTCCAGGAAGCTATATTGCTTCCGGAAGGGATTCGTTTGAAATGGGATTTTTGTGGCAGCTCTGACTCATCGTCAAGTTGCGATAAATCACCGAAAATTCCAGCCACTGTCCGACCTTTGGTTGCTTCAGTCACACCAGCAAGAAATACTCCAGAGGTTATGCAATACGAAGTTGGATATCCAGCTCAAAATGCGACATTAGAAGTCATGTATCGATTCGGGCCAAATGACAGAATGGAGTTGACTTTTCTCTCGACGTCTGCCCCCACCAATGGTTATATTCGTTTCAGTGCTGATGTTGCCTACTTTCCTGCTCGACGCGGAAGTATTGTGACGTCGTCGTCGTCTTCCATTTCTGTGGCAGCTGTTGGCTTGCGCTCGATCACATTCTGTGCCTGCGGCCTAGGTCGGTCCTCTGGTTTTCCTGTCGAAGAATCCAATCCGATCATCATGGTACCGGTGCCAAAAGCTGGGCATTCCTTTACTGTTCACGGCTTTGATTCCACAGAAATGGATGAAACCGAATATGACTGCATGAAAAAGGGAACCCAAGACGTGACCATGATTCAAAATCACCTACAAGATTCGAAGTTGGCAACACTTACCAGGGGAATCGATGCTGCAATATATTACAACTTGATCTACACTCCTATGGAGCGCACTTTAATTGCTCCTGTTTCGCGGGGATGGGGAAAGGCACTTTGCATGCCCGCTCTTCTACCAGAACTCGAATACGTTCTCTTTGATTGGGGTGAGTGCTGGTTTACAATGATGTTCTCCTTTCTGCTCTGGGCGCCGCTATGTGATATCTAACACTCAAATTTTTCTTTCTTTTCTTCTTCTTGAAACCGTGTAGATAATGTGTTAGTCGCCTACATGATGGGTATACGAGGGAAGAAGGACTTGGCCTATGCTAGTTTGATCCAAGTGGTTCGATCCAGAACTGCAAAAGGATTCATTCCTAACTTTAGTGCTGGCGGGGCCAAGAGTCAAGACCGCACGGAACCACCTCTTGCAGCCAAAGTTTTGTTGTTCCTTGCCGAAAAATTTGACGACAAATGGATCGTCGACTATCTTTGGGATGACTTGGCAATACAAATGGATTGGTTTTGGTCCAACCGACGACTAGATGATTTCATCGTTCTGGGGAGCGATCCGGTCTTGTATCCCAATTCGCATAGCACCAACACAATGCAAGGGGCTCGATATGAAAGTGGGCTGGACAATAGCCCAATGTACGATGGAAAATTTTTCAAGGGTAACTTGATGCAACTTTATGATGTTGGCATGACATCGCTAGTCTTGCAGGAATGCGAGTCGTTGATAACGCTCGCAAGTTTGATTGGTAAAGATGCGAACGATTTGAAACACCGAGCAAACCTTCTACGTCAAAGCTTACAAAAATCATGGGACCCCGACGATGGGATCTACACCAACATGTTCGTTAATGGAAGCTTTTACAAGCGCCGGTCACCTACAAGCTTTTACCCACTATTGAGCAAGGTGGCAACTGATGCTCAAGTAGACTCTATGGTGGAACATTGGCTGACGAATGAAACTCGATTCTGTATAGGTCGACGTACCGAGGATTGTTGGTGGGGCCTACCCAGCATATCGGCCGACGATCCATCCTTTCCCGGGCTTGGGTATTGGCGTGGCTATGTCTGGGGTCCAATGAGCATTTTGGTCTACTGGGCACTAGACAACTACAGTCATTTGCCTCAAGTGTCCTTGGCCAAACATCAGCTGGCGAATCAAATGTCAGACATGTTCTTGAATCTTTGGGAGAAGAAAGGGAGAGTTTGTGAAAACTATTCGCCCCGTCACAATTCAACTGAATGTACTGGCGATAGATTCTATCACTGGGGCGCCCTTACTGGAGTATTGGCCTTGATGGAAAGAAACGAGACAGAGCTTACAACGAGTATTAGTAGGTTGTAGCGCTCGTTGAAACTAGTTGCAGTATATAACACACGGAGTAGGAATAAATGGCGTTGTTCCATTGTTCCTTTGTTTTTCTTGAAATACGACTAACCTCGACTACAAGATACCAGCGATTACCACGACCGCTCACGGTTGGCGATTGCTCATCCTTCTCAATCGCTTTGGATTTCGCAGACTCCAATTGGGCCTAAAAGAGTTTCAATGATGTTTTTGGGCTGACAGTTGTTACTAGCTGTTGGCCCCCAATCCCCCAGCGCAAGC